CCTGTTCCCGATACAGACTCGCTTACCCGTGTTGAGATGAACTGAATGAACTCTGGACAACCCGTACCGTTGGCAAGGAAAAAAAATAAGAAAAATAGTTTGATTTGTTTTAAAAATTAACTCTTTTTTTTCAATTAAAATAAAAAAAAGTTTGCAATAAGTTTTGAAGGTTAAGTTTTGAAGGTTAAGTTTTGAAATTTTACAACCACCTAATTCATAATAGTGACGTATTTTTAAACAATAAAAAGAAATCATTTTGGTCGGTTTTTTTGAGAGTGGGGGTGGTCTAAAGGGGTGTGAAGTGGGGCGGTTAAGATGGTAGGGGAAAGACTTGTCTCGTGAAAGTACCAACAGTATTTGCCAAGACAAATAGTACTAAAACTCTCATCATTTGAATTGCAAATCGAATATTTGTCAATGTCTTTACCTGCAAATGTAGGGATTAATTTCAAATGCGCATGCAACTGCATTATAACCCCGACGAGTGGTAGCCGTACATTGTCCATTGTAATGTGGTTACTGTTAGTTTTCAGTTCTTTTAATTTTATTTGTGGCTCTCTTTCCTTTTTCCTTTTACTCTCTTTGAGCATCTAGCTCCGTTTGTTTTAAGCTCTCTTTCCATTTGCTTTAAGCCATCTTTCCATTTGCTGTAAGCTCTCTTTCCATTTGATTTAAGTTTTCTTTCCATTTCCTTTAAGCCCTCTTTCCATTTGCTTAAAGCTCTCTTTCCATTTGATTTAAGTTCTCTTTCCATTTGATTTAAGCTCTCTTCCCATTTGATTTAAGCTCTCTTCCCATTTGATTTAAGTTCTCTTTCCATTTGATTTAAGCTCTCTTTCCATTTGATTTAAGCTCTCTTCCCATTTGATTTAAGTTCTCTTTCCGCTTGCTTAAAGCTCTCTTTCCATTTGCTACAGTTAGAGCTACATGCTATGATCTCTTTTTTTTTTCTTTTTTGACTGAGGCCAGATCCTCCCCAGACATTACATCCTAAAACCGTGGTTGTGCGTTTGTCTCTTGGTGCATAGCTCCAGTTGACGCAAAATCTTAGCATTGAAACGGATTACATGGTGGGAAGTTGTCTTTCGAAATGGGTCTCTCATCGGCTGAAATAAGTTTTTCGTTATTTTCGCGCGTACGTAAGTGATCGCAAATGTTGGCCGTGTTAAGAAAAAAAAGGTGGGTGAACAATAATTCTGTAAGAGTATTTTTTTTTTTAATTATAAAGACGGCGTCAAGTGACATAGTTCTGGGAAAGGTAGTCTGTCAATGGAACGGGAAATCCTGCTCGACCAGTAACTGAATGTGACTTTCGTCGGGTCGGAGAACCACACATTCCTATAAAAATCTGGATCATCGTACACCATAGGCAGAAATATCCACAATACATCACCCTGGCTCGCACATCTGGCTCCGACAAGCGTATTCCGATCTGTATCGCGTAACGAACATGCACCAATTTCCTTTAAAAAAACAACAAAAATAGATAACGGACGAAATGCTGATGTCGTACTCTAAGGTTATTCATCATAGACTTTGTAGGGGCAGGTACAGAAACCTTCTGGAGAACTCTGGCGTGATTTTCTAGTCCCTAAGAACGTAATGTTCGACCATATTTCTCGTTCCCTTCACAGTTAACTTTCAGAAAAAAGGACAGTTCCTAACAATAGATTAAATATTTTTGCTGGTTCGTCACCTATGTCATATTGTGGTCGAGATTTTGTATCATGCAAAATGCAATAAACTTACCAAACATCCATGTTAAGTGTTTCATCAAAACAAATGGTGTCTATTTTTTCCCTCCACATTATACTGTTATAGGTTTAAATAATTTTCGGGGCCATTCCTTTACTACACCGTAACCTCTTAGAAATCTTTGATATGTTTCAAACGTAGAGCCCGAGATGAGAAAACAAATATCGTGGTGTTAAGCCCAGTGGCCTGGAACCCTTCTACGCAGCCAGTAACATGAAGAATCACGTGTATTCTATGCTCGATTAAAGTAAATATATAAGCATGGGTCTTATGTTGTTTTTTTGTTGTTGTTGTTTTATTTTATTAAACGGTTTATAACTTTAACGTGAGCCTCATGTTTGCAGGAAAACAAATTTTTACAAATATTTTTAATTTTTTTTTTTTTTTTTGTTAATGAAATTTGATTATGGGCTCTTTATCCCCAGAGATGCTTGAATAGACAAGGGGATATAAATCGTGTTTCATTAAGTAGTATTACACAGAGGCTGCTAACACTGAGGCATGACGAAAAAAATTATGATTTTGAATTTGGTTTGTTAAAAATGAATTTAAAATTGTTTTTTTTTTTCTTCTTTAATCAAAGTTTAGCGGATGTTAGTTTAATCGTATAGTGAAGATCTAGTTGATGTGCAGAAGGTCAAAAGGGTTTGGTCGCTTCAGGAGTGCTTGTTATTTAAGGTTGGAACTCTATTGATGGAATATCATGGAATTCAGTTGGACCACTCTCAAGGAATGGCGGAAAGATAATGATACAACATCCGGGTCTCTTGATCGGCCAATCTATCGACAGCTGTCCGACACTTCTACCTTAGTGTTAGTCAGGGAAGTTGGTCTTAACTTAGACTAAAACTTGTTTACAACTCTTTTTTGACGACAGATTTTACTAGTAAATTTATATATATATATATATATATATATATATATATATACTGTCTAAAAATAGTAAATTACATAATGCGATATGACGTTTTCCGGTCTTAGAAATGACAAAACCTAATCCCTTGAGATGCATGCTGGGATTCAAGGGAATTCCAGTCAGTCAAGATGTGGGATGACACACATGTGATTATTGTTATTATTATTATTATTACGATGGTCTTGTATAGTGCATGGTACCCCTTCCTAGGACTGAGCACACCGCGCTGCACATAAAAATATTAGCAAACAAAATGATGACATGTTAAAATTACACACATTTATTTAATTAAAAAAAACAAAAAAAAACAGCTGTAGATCTATACAAACAAAAAAAGACAAAACAAACAAAAAATATAGTTTCTCCCAGAGAACTATTTTTATGTCAAGCCAATGACGGCATCATTTAGTGTTCGGTCGTGGGCGAAAAAGGGGGGGGGGAATTCAGTCGGGATAGTAGAGTTTGAAGATCTTTGTCTTGAGGGCAGTTTTGAATGCTTGGATAGTTGGTATATTGCGGATGTGTAGTGGGAGAGAATTCCAAATGTTTATGGGCGAAGAGAGAAGTGCTGCTATCATCATTATTCACAAGTATGGGTGAGATGAGTGTCCCAGCATGCGTAGTTGACCCGTAGGTCACGGTTCAAGCAGTATTTACAGGGGGTCGTCAAGACTACCCGATAGTGATAGTAAGGAGACACTGACGTATGTGCGTGCATGCGTCTTTGACGATAATTACGGAAGCTCACAGAAGGTAGCTGCGATTGCTTCCACTTCAGAAGCATTCATGAGGTTATATTATATTGATTGATCGGGAAAAAAAGCAACAACAACAACAACTTTTTCAAAGTTGTGCTGGAATAGGGCTTGTCATTTAATGTCGGATATCTATTAATAGAACATCCGGGTGTTTAGTCTGGCCACTCTCTTTCAGACAATACTGGCATTCCGATTGGCTAATTTCTCAGCAGCTGTTCGGTACATCTACGAGAATGGGAGCCAGCAGATTGGGTCTTAATCTAGACGTAAACGTGTTGACAATTTTATTTTACGAATTATTTTATAAACAAATTGCTACTGATATATATATATATATATATACATATATATATATATATATATATATATATATATATATACGGAAATTCATTGTAAGAAGCTATGTCTTAAGAAAACATGGTCTAAAAATAATTACATACTACTGATATATATATATATATATATATATATATATATATATATATATATATATATATATATATACGGAAATTCATTGTAAGAAGCTATGTCTTAAGAAAACATGGTCTAAAAATAATTACATAACGTTTTCCCGCTTATCAATGACAAACCTTAAACAACCAATGTGATTTTTGTGTGTGTGCAAACCATTGTAATTACATTTGTATCATTGGTCTAAGTTCAATAAATGTCCATTCTATTTTTTTTTAAACCTTAATTTCCATGCTTTGATTTTGTTGCCGCCCCCTGTTTCTGTTACATGGGCGTAGAGAACCCAAAGTAACCAATTGAATTTAAACGAGTACAGCCTTAAATTTGCCATAGCCAGCGTTAAGGTAAGATTTTGACATTACAGAAGGGGGGAAGCAATGTTCTTTCAGAGAAAGACGGACTTAGCTACAATATGGTGGCGCTTATAAGACGTTTCCGGTTAATTGCAGGGCTTTCTTGCCAAGGCTCATTTTCCTTTGCACCCTTGGGTCATCAGAGGTCATAAGAAACTCAGTAATCAGTGGTGCGAATGAACTCAGTAATCAGTGGTGCGAATCAACTCAGTAATCAGTGGTGCGAATGAACTCAGTAATCAGTGGTGCGAATGAACTCAGTAATCAGTGGTCCCAGAATTCAGAACGTAGTGGTCGGTCCCAACAATTTTATTAATCAGTGGTCCCTACAATCTATGTAATCTGTGGTCCCAAACTAACTTAGTAAACAGGTGTCCAAAGAAACTCAATGATAAGTTATCGCAACAAATTCAGTAATCAGTGGCCCATGAATGCTTAACATGTTTTATCACCCTAGCCCAAACTTTGAAAGGTTTAGCTTTTTCTTTTGGTGTGACTCTCATGAAATACTCAAGAGCAACTCATGATCACTGTCACCCCCACCCGCCCCCCCCACACACTTTTTACAACAACTTAATAAGGCGTCTTTCTGTATCACCCGGTTTTTTCTGTAACACCCAGTTTGAGAGGCGTAATCGATATAAAGTTTAATTAGTTATAGGGAATCGCATCAGTCACTTTAGCCTAATGGTTGTTTAGATATAAAAATCAATTGCCTTGCTTAGTTGTCAGCAATTTTTTGTTTTTGTTTTAAACGCACTTTACAGACAGCTATAGCTGTGTGGTTTAACTTGGAAACAAGTATCACATAAGAATTTGTTGCATTTCTCAAAGGGGTGCTGTCAAAGTTGAGTCAATAAAGCTCAGGGAGGGGGGAAAAGCTATGTTCATATGGTTGATACTCGCGTGTGTACTTGGAGGCTGTGTACAGAATGTGTACACGGAAGGAGGTAAGTCTTTCGTTCAAATGAATGCTCTCTGTTTGTCATGCTCCTATTTTATCATTTTATTAAGACTGGTACTAATTTCAGTTATTTATTGTCTTTTTTTTTAAAAATCCTTTACATTAATTTCACCTTGGTGTTGTTGGGGCAAAACATTTTCAGACTTCTAATTAACCCTCTTCCCGTCATTCTATCAAGCTGAAACTTGGCACATAGCCTTGTTGACGATTACAACACATTTGAACAACAACAAAAAATGTCTACCCCCACAACCCCCCCCCAACCCCCCCCCTCAAAAAAAAAAATTATTACAAAATCAGTCTTCCTGTTTCTCAAGCGAAAGATAAGTGAAATTTCCAATAAATGAGCTTAATGAGATCCTTTAAAAAAAAAAAACAATATCCTTAGTGCATTTGGTGCATAATATTTTCATTTTTTTTCTCTGAAATTGAAATAGTTTGTGAAATAAATCTGCTGTGTAAAGGTGGGTGGATCATTGGAATATTAATATAAATTAAAATGATCAACAAATGCACATAACATCACGGATTAAAAAACAAAAACAGCACTTTGTTTCTGGGGGGGTTGTTATTTTATATCCCCCCCCTTTTTTTTTCAAATATGTTCCACACTAAATTTCTTCAACCATTAATATCAGCGCTTTACACATTTGTCCTTGGGGAGGGGGGGGCGGGGGACGACAAACTTCATTTAAAATTTAAATGACAAGGTATACGGAAAACAGCCGAGGGTTAGTGGAATAAATATGGCAGAGGAGTATCTGCTCGGATCAGAAAGCCATAGAGTCACTTTCTAAATACTAACACAAATGTGTAAAAGAAAAAAGGGTTCACTTTTTTCCCCTTTAACTGAGGAAATAATAAATATATATATGTATATATATGTCGTCTGAATTTTATAAAATCGATTAATGGCTTATGAGATCCGATGCTGTATGCATTGACGTGAAAGTCCGTAATCTCAATAACAAGCACATTTCCATATTAAGTCATGAGGGAACCTTTAAAAAAAAGCACATGGTTCAAACAGGAGTGATTATTAATACACCAATTACTCACCCAATCTCCAGATTTTTAGTTTTAAAAAAAAAGAACAGTTATGTTACAGACGTATATAAAAAAAGGAATATAATGATACTAGAATTAAAGAATAAATAAAGCTATGAATTTTAATTGACTGTAGTACTGCATTCAGTAAGTATGCAAATAAACTTAAAATAGTTTACAATTGTAAGCACGGTTTGACTTGTAAGCATTTGAAGGCTCAAGTTTTGATTTGATAAATTGTGCTAAATTCGTGTGTGTTTGTGTACGTGATCGGGTTGCAAATGTCAAATATTCTTTTCAACAAATCAAAAAAAAAAAAAAAAAAACTTTAAAATTTTAAATAATAAAAGAAAACATGAACTAAGTCAGACCCACTTTATTTCGCAATATTAAAAATGGATTAAATCATATAAATTTGTGTGTGTTTGTGTAAGTGATCGGGTTGCAAAAGTCAAATATTTTTTTTAAAAAAAAAAAAAAAAAAAAAAAAAAACTTTAAAATTTTAAATAATAAAAGAAAACATGAACTAAGTCAGACCCACTTTATTTCGCAATATTAAAAATGGATTAAATCATACGTCATAGATGGTCCCCGGAATACATTCTATAATTTTTCTCGACATCGAGAAACCGTCGAATTTTTGAGCATTGGAAAGGCCTTTCGCGACTAAATTGTGTACCGGATTCAAATAATATGGCTAAAAAAATTCTTACTGAAATGTTAAAAGGGTTATGGTTATAGAAGTTTGCCACACAAAAAATAACCAAAAAAAAAATCAACAAAAAAATTAAAAATAAAGAAACAACCATCTGTTAAAAAAAGTAAAGCCCCGTTAATAAAATAAATAATAATATATTACAACTAAATTTGTTGGATAACCTTTATCATTTGTATCCCATTTAGAAAACAATAATTATACTAAAAAATTAAGCTTAAATTTTAACTATTTTTTTTTTCTCAAAAAAATTGGTCCAGCTTTTCGCCTGGACGTCAAGCCCACTACCATCGTACCTGGATTTACGTCTAGGCTTGAAGTCACGTGCTTTGTGCCCCGGAAGAGCATTCCAAACATGCAAACGATCAACTCGTTGATTTTATCCAGCTACGAGGAGAACAACAGGTCCCAGATGAAGTACTTCGTCGCCATCAACCACAGCAACGGGAAGACCGGCCACTTCCCCGACGGCGTGACCACCTCCGGCGCCGTCAACAACGAATGGGACTGTTACCTGAACTTGACCTGGGACTACCCCACGCGGGAGGCTGCCAGCTTGTTCAAGTGTGAGGTCAACGGACTGAACGCGATGTGGCGCCCCGTGACTGTCGGGCTGGACGCGTCCGTGGTCGCCCAAGCTCCCGATCTGAACGTCCTGGTGGAGGAGTTTACGGTGAACAGGAAAGAGACTCTGAAAATGCAAGCGGAGCTCGCTCGAGTCAGATCGGAGCTCAGTTATTTGAAGCAGCAAGTGGCCATACCGCCGACGACGGACGCAAGTATTTCTAATACGTACAATAAACTGCAAGCGCAGGTCACAGCGCTCAAAGAGTTCACTGTGAAATTCGTCAACACGTCAGAAACCCGGATGGAGGCGTCACGGGATTCCTTGTTCCACGTTTCAGGCGTCTACGACGGTCGGCACTACTGGCTGTCCAAGCCGGTTATAGTCATGGGTCCGGACACGTACCAGGCGATATGTTCGACGTACGGCGGATACCTAGCGGAAATCGACGACGGCCAAGAATACGCGTTCGTTAACGGGTTCATCAAAAAATTTTCCGGCGTCTCAGCCGTGCTCCTGGGAGCGACTGATGAGGCGAGCGAGGGGATCTGGGTGCAACGCCACAGCAAGGCAGCCATGACGTTCACCAACTGGGCCAAAGATGAACCGGGCGTTAACAAAGAAAGCAACTGCCTGTATCTATTCAAGCTCGCGGACTTCCAGTACGTGGACGGCCTGTGCTACAAGGTTGATATCGAGTCCCCTGAAAGCTTTTTATGTGAGGTTCCAGTTTGATGTTAATCATTGCACGACTCTGTATTTGCCTCTTTAAAAGGAGAAGAAATAAAGTAAAATTCATTGCAGAAATAAAGAATAATTATGATTTGAAGTTAACCGCTGCGGGTTTTTTTTTTCAATTTCATTTGTTTAATATTTGGTTTACTCAACCACTAGGGCCATTGATAAAGATGAGGGTTAATTTCAAAATCATCTGTTTGAGTTCGTTCAAGATCGAATCTCCCAGTAAATAGGTTTGTATTTCACACTGTCTTATTACACTCCTAACGTCGCACAGGTTGCTACAAATCATTAGAAATCCATTCCGAAAATAAAAACAACACGAACGCACAAGATTAAAGATATTAAGTATTATAAATATATATATATATATATATATATATAT